AACAATTCCCTTCTCCTCCACCTTGATGTTTCATTTGGCCCAACCTCCCAAATGGCGGGCCTGAGGCAGATGGGGAATTTGCTTCATCATCTTATGGTGGTCCACTACTGGAAAACTCAGAAAGGCTCTGGACAATCTCTCATGGGCCCCCAATGCCACTACACAGCCATGGACCTTGACATCTACCCAACTATGCCAACTCAACACCAGTCCAGAATTTTGGTTCATTTCGTACAAGGCACTCCCATGACTTAATAACTTCCAGTCATGCTGATGGTTCTTTAATTACGATAAGAGATTTTAGACATGTATATTTATGTATACAAGTGTCTAGTAAAACCACAGATCAAAGAAGAAAAAAATAAGAGAGAAAAAAGTAAAAAACCCACAAAAATGACTGTTCACTTATTTTGGCTCAAGAGGGCAGCAGATATGTTTCAGTTTCTGTTTTGGTTGATATTCTTGATTATAATCTCCACCACAGTTTTACTACCTACTTGGGTAGGATATGTGCATAACGTATATTTAAGCTACTTAACAAACACATAGCAAAAGATGGGGGAGTGCCTTAGGTAAATCAAGTGTATTAGACTGGATGTAGAGGAGCCAAATATACAGGCTTAAAAAAAGAAATTTGGAATCCAGGGATTGATCTAAAAGAAAAGTGACCACACTCTGGAAGTTTCTATCACTAGTAATGATGGAATTTCCCCCTCTTTTATTTATTTTTGAAAAAAAAAAAAGGGAGGCTTACTGTTTCTTTTAATAAGGCACTAAATAGACATGTTACATAAAGGAAAGATACATTTTTAAAAAGTCTATAAATTCTTTGACTTTCACAGGAAGATAGAATTATTCCTTATGTTTTTTTAAAAAAATCTGCAAATTGGAGTTGTTGTAAAGCTATTATTAAGGAGCTACGGAGGGAGGTTGAGGTTGTCTATCCCTAGGCCCCCCAAAAGGTGGCATTTTCTTAAATGTTCAAGTTCATTTCTATATTTTCATTATGATCCCTTTAATATATATATATGTATAAATAGCATCCCAAATGATTCAAAACTTTAAAACTTGTCAGGTTGCTCTCGGGTTTTTTTTTTCTTTTTTCTTCAAGTAATAGAAAAGTCGCATAAAAACAAGAGTTATTGCCTTTATATCTTTCATTTATGTTACCTTCCTAGTTAGCATCTGGCAAAAAGCAAATTACACCTCCTTGTAAAAACACTCAGTTCCCTCTACTAATCAGATGTGGAACTGTATAGCCATAAATGTTGCCAACTTCTCAACTGGCTCTGGTAGCTATTCCTTTATCAGCAGCTAAAGATGTCTATTTAGCCAAGCTGCCTCTTTCCCATAGTTTCAATCAAAGGCTGATGACATAATCAGAAACAGGACTATTGATACCCTTCAGTGATCAGCACGGATCTTCAGCGAGATAGTAATTCTGAGCTCAATACATTGATCGGTCTGTTCTCAATCTGTGCAAATATGAACTGTGAGATCCACTTCCTACCTCCATGCTGTTCAAAGCTCCATTTTCTGGATGGCTTGTTTTGGAAAAGTTGACTAAGTTCCTAGCTAGAACTTAAACTTTGTGCATTGTCTAGAGAGATCCAGAGGTTTATTCCCTCAATTTTTAAACAATTTCTTCCTCTTCCTCTTTATCATTTATGCCTCTCACTCTCTGGTACTCAAATCATATATAAATTAACTAAGTGGGCTAAAAGCAACCAATCAGACCTTTATACCTTAAAAAAAGTGTAAACAATAGCACTGTAAGACAAAATGGTTTACGAAAAAGAGCAAGACAACACTTTAAAGAAGGAGATGACATGAGCTGAACTGTTTGATTGAGGTGCACCCTTGACACAGAAGGATTGTGCCATGATCGCAGGTTGTAAGCACAGGCCAATGTTGCAAAGAGGTTATGGATTTGCTTCTCAAGCATGAACATGACTCTTTCGCCTTTAATACATCACAGTAGCTGAAATGCTTCCATCTACATGTCTCCCCTATTCCCCAGCTCAAATAAATAAAACACAGTTAACAGTCAAAGGCAGTCAAGAGAGGAAGGTAATTCACCAAGTGCGGTCCGCTGGGCACCCTTCTTTTCTCTCAGGATGGAGTGGAGCACAAGGACAGATGGAACCCCGGACGATGAAGCAGAAGCTGCGTGCAGTTTTCTTCCCCCAGCTCTTTAGTCTAAAGTAGCCGGCACCAAGTTGGGAATAGCTAAGTGGAATACTGGCTCACTGGGGGATTAATATACCTACCCTGCTCTTTTTTAACTCTGTTTTTTAGCTTGAACTGCAAAAATAGGGGTGGGTGGTTTTCCCCCGCACTTAGCTGGATGCAAGGCAGGACTAGTGAACTGCATTTGGCTTCAGGAAAAACCTGCAGACCCAGATGAGCAGATATAAATATATACGGGGTTCATCTTCCTTTAACAGTGGAAAGTATTTTAGAGTTAACACCTTTTGTGGCCCTGATAGGACAAGGTTATGCCTGCCATTGCTCCCTCCTCCCACTTTTAAAAAACTAAAAAGTGCACAGGAGCCGTGGCTTCACCATCTAAGCAACCTTCACTTATAAAGCTTATTTAAAATCTTGCAAAAAGCAGGGTGCCCAAACCAAGGTGCCAGGAGTGCTATTAATCTCAAAGGCAGGATTTCTGAATCTTGATGTTCCTTCACCCCTTTTATTACCTTAACCAGAGAGAGCGCCAAATTATATTGTTATTAAAAAAAACGATGACAATTAGAAGCCATAACCCGGTCATTAAAAAAGAAAATAATTTAATGACTGTGTATGCTTTTATGGCCTTCCTGAAATTAACAAGACAATAAAAATAGAACAGCCATTCCAATTTGCCTTTTGAGGGCTTGATTTTGCAAAATACAAAAACACCTAGGTGCTTCAAAGCTCTGGAGCAGAAAAATGCTTTATCTAAGCAAGAGCTCTCCTTTAGCTTCCACTCTGAGATGAATTCTACTTTTCTAAAAGGACAAGCTATAGAAATGCCAAGGGAAGGGGTCTTGCTTAGGCACAGCTCTGAATGCACACAGGCTCAGGATGAACAGCACTCCGGCCCAACTGGGAATACACAGCACTAAAGTTTTGCACAATTAAGCTCTTCATTTTTGGATTCTTTTTTTTCCATGCTTCCAATAACCATAAAACAGTTTCACACGTGAGATGTTCACTTAAAAAAAAACCTAATGATTTCATAGGGAATGTAGGAGAGTAGAGCATCATACTGCATGACAAGCCTGGGAATGAACACCCGAGTGCAAAAACCAGTACAAAGGAAATACACAGGCATCAAATCAATTGAGAAACATATACTCACAGGTGTAGAAATGGCCTCTTTCCCCTTTGAAACACACCCTCAAGTAGAGAGAGAGAAAAGTGGGGCAGTGGCGCAATTACCTTGTTCATTAAAGGGGCAATTTTTACACATGCTCAGCCCCTTCACAGTTAATGCAATACATGTACATGGTGGGTTCTGGTATCTTTTATAGGCATCAGTCTATACTTGTAGATGGGTGCCAAGGAACTACCGCCGGTCTAAGAGAGGGTCATGTGACTCTGGAGAATTAAAAAAAGAAAATCTTGCACAAGATGCAGTCCTTCTTCCCCCATGACTCTTCAGACCTCAACGTATTTTCCTCAACAGTTTTATGGTAGACAGGATAAGAGATTTCTGACCAACACAAGCACTGACACATTTATATTAAAAAATAGTGCAAAATTTCAACATTTATATAAATAATTCTAAACCCCTGCTTTTGTTTTTTTTTTGTTTTTTTCCTTTTGTTTTTCTCTTTCTTGCTTTTTTACAATGTAATACATGCTTTCTTGAGTTGGCTCTCAAAAGTTGCCATGTTTATATCCTAAGTTCAGAAAAAAACACAACAAACCATTTTTTTTTTCTCAATAGGCCTCTTCTAATATAAAAATATTCCTGCTTCCCCCCTCCCACACACATACAGTTTCTCTTATTTTTTTAATATATATATTTATATATATATTGCAGATCTTTAAACAAACGTTTTTGTGCAAATATTTTTCATCTTTAAAGTTAAGTGAAATAAAACAAAAGTTGTAGCATCCATACACGCAACTCAACTAGAAACAAAACTGGGAAGGGGGAAATGGGGGGGGGGAAGGACTGCTGTAGATTTCTTTAAAAAGGAAAAAAAAAATCAAAATCTTCTAAACAGAGCTCAACAAAGAAATGTTTTTGCAAGTTTTGTTGGCTTGTGCATTCAGACCAAACATAACATGTAAATATTTATACTACACAGACGTGGAGAAGGGCGTTTGGTTTCACTCCCCCATCTCCATATACTCCCCCCTCCCATTTATCAAGAAGTGCAGAGTGTTTCCTTTCTTTTCTTTTTTAAAAAGGGTGCCCTTTCTGTTTGTCCTTTTCTTTGTTCCACATCGTTGTGCTCTCAAGACTGCTGATGGGTGAAGGTGAATGGAATCTCCCTCCCTCAAGCAATGAAGGCACCCCGCTGTTGTTCTGCTGGTGCTGGTAAAACGTGGAACCAGGGAAATGGCCAATGACCTCACTGTACGTAGGAGGAGGCCCTTCCATTCGGCTGTTGCTTCCGTAGCAGGTCGCGCTGATGCCCGAGTTGCTACTCGGAGGGCAGGGTCCTCCATACATTGAATTATCTATCAGGTCACTGTCGAAGATGGTTCTGTTGGGAGGGGCTCGGACCGACTCCCTGTTGAGTTCCATTTGCTGCTCGGGATCTCGGAGCTGCAAGGTGCAGGGCCCTTGATAAGGAGGTGGCTCTTCTCCATCCGACAGGGAGATGGTAGGGGGCAGGTCAATTTCGTGCTGCATATAAGGGTACGTTGGCTGGAATCTGTTAAATCTGTCTCTCTGCAAAAAGGATGGAACTGCTAGTCTGTCTGTAGGCCTTGGCGTATAGACTTGCTGCTGAAAAGAAGAGAGAGAAAAGCCATGACGCTGCTGTGCAAACCAAGAAGCTGGGCTTTACACTCTATTTTGTCTCTACTCCTTACCTCCGTTACACCATTTCCTGACACTGTGCTTTCCGAAGGCCACAAGCTGCCATCCTAAAAATTGGAAAGAAGAGGGAAAGTTTTCAGAACCCTTATTGGATGGTCCTCCTTTTGTTAGTCCCAACCCAGAATGCTACACATTAAGATAGTGTAGGGGTGTGAAAACACCTGCTCGTACATGGCTGAGGGACCCACCCAGCAACCAGGTGACATGGACCAAATAAAAGAAAGTCTCCAGATATGAGTGCCCTCCATATTAGGAAAGCTATGTGGCAGAGAACCTGTTTGATATGCAGATGGTCCTGGGCCCAATGGCTGCATGCAGATACGAGCAGTGCCTGGAACCCTGTAGTGTGTATTTTCTATCAGGCAGAGGGCCTCACTAGACTGGCATTTTGAGGACCTCTCTCAAAATTGAGCAGAGCTAGGAACCAATGGGTGGAGAATGTTGGAGACTCAAGAGGTCAAATCTATTCCAATCCTATACAAGGCTTAAACCACCTATTTTTTCTTTTAACTCCCTCCCCCCTCCAAATATTTGGTCCCATCTATTTTGGAGAAGTTTGGGGACCAGATCTGTACCATTATCCACTCTGATGTAAAGCTGCTGTAAAATCACTGATACCGAGTTAAATGGACCCATAGACAGCAATTTCTAAGGGTTGAAGCTGGCAGAAGAGATTCTTGTCTAATGGTATTTCAGAAGGTTTTGAATGGGACAAGATTCAAACTGGGCTTTTCACGGGTTTAAGGTCTACCTAAGTTGCAAAGGAGGGGTATCACATTAATGCCTACAATCTACTTTAATCTACTTTAAACACCTTGACAAGAGTGTTAAAAATGATAGGTGTTCATTAGTAGTGTTTAGCTTTGGAATCCAAGTGCTGATTTTTTGGGAATTAAGGAAGAGTGAGTGATTCATGGAACTATTCTTGGAAAACTATTCCTCTTCAAAATACCTGGACACTTTGATCTGTATTTGGTGGCATTGTTAAAAAAATAGGAAAATAACCACATTGAAATATCTAAGTATTTTATCTTATTACTCCTCCAAGGAGTTCAAGGTGACATCCCTGTATTCAATCCTCATAACAACCCTATAAAGTTGATTAAGCTCAACCAAAGTGAAACAAATATTCACGGAAGAAAAAATCAACACAATTCCATATTCATGTTGTCCCTTTTTTCAATATATTGGTTTAGTAATAAGACCTTTATAGTAAGCTATGTATCCATCATGGTTCTTTATTGGTGTTAGTTAGGTCTCAGCAAGACAGCTCAATCCATGGCTTTTATCGAGAATAACATAAGTATCAAGTATCCTTTGTTCTTAACCTCTTGTTAATTTGTAATAGACACAAAAAGAAATCAGTGTGGAGATTTCCCTCCAAATTCCCCATTTCCTTATCATTTCTATGTCTTCTTTCACTGAATTGTACTTAATGTTTTTTGTCAGGGACTGGGAAATTCCTATTACATTTTTTTTCCCTAAAAGAAATAAGAACTTCTAAGACAAAGCAAGCATCTTAGCACATATTTAAAAGCTCAATCCACATATGATTTTTGCCTTGTTTCACTTGGCTGCTTCGTGAATGTCTGAAGCAATTCTCCCCAGTTGGGGCCTTGTTAGCTGGGAGCTGCAATTCAAATGCATTTATTGGTCATCAGATTTAGAAGGGCTGTCTAGAAAGTTGTAAAATCACAAAGGAGACTTATCTGAAGAACTGGTTAAAATGGAAGCTGTGAAATACAGTAAGGACAGTTAGCTTTAGAACTTGGAAAGCTCAAATACATTGGAGTGTAATCATTTATAGAGCTTTAAGCTGTGACATTTGCTTGGAATTTCCATATTCTGGCTTTATGAGATTATAAACATTAGATGCTGAACTCCCTTCTTCCAAATCTATGAACTTCCCAGGGGTGTTTTGTCAATGAAGTGCTGGACAGATAATGCAGTTCTCAGCTGCTTCACTGAGGCTCCATGATCTACAGCATATTGAATCAAGTACTGTATGGCCACGCATTCATTTAAAAGAAAATGAGTCAATGAAAATTGTACCTCCAGTTGAAACAAGAAGACAGGATGGCAAATTTATTGGTGTTCATCTAAACCAAACTATCTGATAATTGGCAATTATCACGCAATAAGGGAGTTATGCAAAGTTTGCACAATGAATGCAAATTGGATAGAAAGACCCAAAGTTATAGGTAGCAAGAGACAGGATGACAGTCTGTTCAAATCAGAAGAAATAAAAATCAAAAAGGTGTGTGTGTGTATGTATGTATGTGTATACACACACACACACACACACA